ACCTGGGGCTTCCCAGACACGGGCTGACACGCCCAGCTTTCACAGGTGACCGCAGAGCATGGGTTGGGCTTAAATGGCACATTTTATATTATATATATTTTGCTACCAAAAACTTAAAAAATAAGGGGGTTCTGACACAGACCACAGCATGGATGGACGGTGAGGACGTCATGCTCAGTGAGACCCCGACACAGAGGCCAGGGACGCCCTGGGCACAAGGAGTGTGGCTCTGTCTCTATAAAATGTCCAGGATAGGCCAGACCACAGGGACAGGACGTGGACTCGTGGGTGCCAGGGGCTGGGGGGTTGGTGAGTGGAGACAGGGTTTCTTCTGGAGGTTACAGAATGTTCTGGAACTAGACAGAGGTGGTAGCTGCACAAGTCTGTGAATATACCCCACACCAGGGAACTGTCCACTCTGACAGTGCCTTGTGTTATGTGAGTGACATCCCGCCAGGGCCATCTCCTCACAAAGCATTTACTGGGCATCAAGATTCATCTTACGGTCAAGGCCCAGGTCACATCTGACCCGTCCACAAAACCATCACAAATATTAAGCTAGGGCTTTAAACTGACATTAACAAAAAAGCTCAAGCCGGGCTCGGTGGCTCAGCCTGTAATCCCGCTCTTTGGGAGGCTGAGGTGAGTGGACTGCCTGAGCCCGCAGGTTTGAGACCCGCCTGGGCAACTTGGCGAGACCTCATCTCTACAATAAATCAAAAAATTACCCGGGTGTGGTAGCGCGCGCCTGTAGTTCCAGCTACTTGGAAGGCTGAGGCGGAAGGATCACTGGAGCCCAGCAGGTCGAGGCTGCAGTGGTTGGGAGCAGCCACTGCACTTCAACCTGGGTGACAGAGTGAGAATCCAACTCAAAAAAAAAAGCTCATCACGGTGTGTAATTAACAGTCTCAGGCTGGGCGCAGTGGCTCTCGCCTGTCATCCCAGCACTTTGGGAGGCTGAGAAGGTAGGATCGCTTGAGGCCAGGAGTTTGTGACCAGCCTGGGCAACAGACCAAGACTCAATATCTACGATAACTACCACCACCCCCAAATGGACTCCTTCTACCCGCTTTTCCTCTCTTTTTCTTACTTTTTTGTGTCTGTGTTGGAGTTCCTCTCTGTTGCCCAGGCTGGAGTACAGTGGCACAATCACAGCTCACTGCAGTCTCGACCTCCTGAGCTGAAGGGATTCTCCCTCCTCGGCCTCCTGAGTAGCTGGGACTACAGCATTGCATGCCAGCTCCTTTTTTTTTTTTAATAGAGGTGAGATCTCACTAAGTCTTCCATGCTAGTCTTGACTTCCTGGCCTCGGGCAATCCTCCTACCTCGGCCTCCCAAAGTGCGAGGAATATGGGCATGAGCCACTGGGCCCATCCCTCTTCAACATATACTCGGATGCTGAGACCCTCACAACTCACCAAATGCTGGAGAAGGGAAAGAGAAGAGGCTATCTGGGGGTGGGCCATGGCTTGTTCTTTCTGGTCTTTCTAGCAACCAGCCCATAACAGGTATTTCCCACACGTCTGTGGAGCGCCTGACTCAGAGACTCCTGGTAGCTGAGACTGACCATGTGAGCAAAACGAAAGCACGTTATCCCGGAAATGGTGGCAGCTCGGAGGACACTGAGGTTCCCTCACCCCCGAGAAACCACAGGGGCCATGAAGCACGCCGTGTCGAACAGTCGGCCTGGATGGTGATGTCAAGCACAGGGACACGAACGAGGCAAGACACCCACAGGACAGGAGGAATCCCTTCCAAATTAGTGTCGAGGCCGGGCACGGTGACTCACGCCTGTCATCTCAGCATTTGGGAGGCCGAGGTGGGAGGATCGTTTGAGCCCAGGAGCTCTAGACCAGCCTGGGCAACTTGGCGAGATCTTGTCTCTACAAAAAAAAAAAAAAAATTAAAAAATTAGCCGGGTGTGGTGGGGCACACCTGTAGCCCCAGCTACTCGAGAGGCTGAAGTGGGAGGATTATCTGAGCCCAGAGGATCAAGACTGCCGTGAGACATGATCGTTGTGATTGCACCACTGCACGCCAGCCTGGGCAAAAGAGTGAGACCTCCACTCAAAAAAAAAAAATCTAACTTGGCATGGTGGTGCCTGCAGTCCCAGCTACTCAGGAGGCTGAGGCTCCCTCCCCCCACCGATGCCTGGGTCCTCCGCCCCTTTACTACGTCATAAATATCCAAACACCCAGGTCTCCTCTCCCACCTTACCGCCCCAGCAGTGTCCCAGCTCCCCGGACACCCAGGTGCCCACCCTCCCTCTGGGCTCCCCATCAGGCCTCCATCCCCCTCGTCTCTTACTGCCCCTCCTCTGGCATCCTCCCGGGCCTGTCTTCTCTCCTTCCCCGAATCAGGCGTCAGGCCCCCTCCCATCCACTCCCCCCCAGAGCTCACTCCCTGGCCGCCATGCACCCTCCAGTCTGGAGTCTCCCCCCACCTCTCCG